CATACTCCTGTTCTTTTCTCTCTGAGCTATAGTAATAATGTATCCAACAGTTAATACCTATGTATAATCATTAATACATTTAAATGATGGACACTACGAGCAGTGAAGAGAAAGATCTGCCAGCTAATACTGAGAAAATATTGCCCGACACAAGTAATCCTCCTCTACCTCTACCGCCAGAATACAAGACTTTCTTATATCCTGCCTACACAGATAAACTCACCTCTGCATACTCAGCTGAAATGCAGATGCGATCAATAAGTTTAAACTGGAAATCAGGAGAACTAGCTATGTTACAGAGTGCTAAGAGATCTGACCATATAAGGATCCGAGAATCCAACCAGCATATCAACAGATACTGTGAAACCTGCTCTGAATTTACTCCTGGAGGTGATATTAAAATTAAACCTAAAATATATACTCATCTCCACAACTCATCCAAGAATTACAGAATACAGGCTCCTTCTGATGTCTGGGGAAACTACACTTGTTTCACCTGCTCACATACTCCTCACTCCTGTAAGATAGGTGTCAGGTACCCAGTAATTGTATCATCTTCAATCTTTAATGGATGGCAAGGAATGTGATCATTTAACAGTTATCAAGGTGATCCTATACATATTGATTATATAACCATACCTGGACCCACTGTGAAGGATTTGCACCATGCTTTCCTAGCCAAATATGGCAATGTACATGGTCCTATTGATGTTCTCCTGGTAGCTGGACTCAATGATGAACTAAAAGGAGCAACTGTTCAACAAATCATGCAGGATATAGAGGATTTTAAAGAATCTGTCATGAGTCTATGCATTCTTGATGAGACCTGGAGCAGCTTTGCCATTGCAACCTTGCCTTTTCCTCCTAAACTAGTCAAGTTTGATGCTGAAACCAGGAATATTCAGTCAAATTATATCCAGATTCTGATAGATCTTACGACTAGTATAAGGGTAAGGGAACTGAACAGATCCCAACCAGTCTAGCTCCTTGTTTCCATACCTGGGGAGTGCGGATAAACAGACATCCAAGGATAATTGGACCGGTCAATCTACTGGAGCATGTCTCTACTCATAGATTGACTCTCTGGAGAGAACTGAAACCCAAGGATATGCTCCACCTGAACAATCATCTCAGGCTTAAGATGGGAAGATCTGCGGTGGAATACTTCAAATTGATCTACAAAATCACTGAGTGTGAGGCTAAGAGCAAGAATGAAGCAATAGCTCTAAGATCAACCTAGAGAAATAAACTCATAAACTCAAATATTCATCCTTCTAACGTGATATAAGTGATGCATCGAAAAGTTTCACCTTATATAATTACTAATGTATTTATTTCTTCTTTTTTACTGAACGAAAAGTTCATTTTTAACAATAGAAATCTATATATAAATTTGGCTTGTCTTGGTGTTTGTTTGTTTGTTTGTCTGTTTGTTTGTATTCAATAAACGTCATAACGGCTGAACCAATCGGGCCCAAATTTGTTGTGGGACATCCAGGGACCCCAGGGAAGGTTTATGAATGATTGAAATTTTAAATATTTGTCTCCATCAAAATTCGATCTTCATTAAATTTTTGAAAATTTTGAAAATCCACGAAATTTTTTGTGAAAATCCGCGAATTATTTTTGTTTTGTTTTACGATGTACACAAAGAGAACATGTGTACAATTAATTTAGAAGATGGGCACGAAGCGCCCTATAAGGCTAGTTTTTAAAATTTTTGACTATTTATAAACCTTCCCTTGGGTCACGTGATGTCTAACAGACAAACACCCAGACAGACAAGCTAAATTTATATATAGATGGTTTAAAGCTATTTAAATGTTTTAAATTTGGGATCCTACTAACCATGAAATGTATGGTCTGTAACCAAAGTGATTGATTACTAAAGTGGGCCAAACTCATAGTTGGATGACGACATTTTATGTCCCAAGTATTTAAAATTAATATATATGTATATATATAAATTGGTCTGAGCTGGGAACTTTTGAATGGTGGATATTGGGATTAATGTTTAATCTCCTCTTTTTCTTAATTTCCGGAATAAATAATACTTGTACTCCCCTTGTTATCAATCTCCAGATTAATTAACCGATCGGGATTAAGGAAATCCTATTCTAAAGTTTCCAGCTCCGTACAAATGAAACTGAACTACCTTTGTAAACAAACACAGAGGTGAATTTTAGCCATTTTACTGCACAATAAATAATTTCAGACAGCACAATAATACCTGCAATCTGCATGCATAATCTGTAAAACAAGGAATGCAAAATTTGTGGTACCGAAAAATGAAGATCTTCGAAATATATCTCTTGGTCTTCACTTTTGTATTTTGACAGATTTAAAAAATGTTGAGAACTAAAAAGGGTTTCCAGGAAATAGTTGATTCTTTTCAGCAACAGTTTCGTGGTTTTGCACGAAATGACTTTTTTTGCACGAAATTTTACATCATTTGTTTTATTAATATAAAACTAGTTTTGCACGAAATTGCGAATTCATTCAAAAAAAATATTTTTTGCACGAAATTTCGCATGAATACAAAATTTAAGTCAGAATTTTTTGATGATATTGCGCATGAATACAGGTAATTTTTTAATGTAATTGTGCAATGCACACCAGCTTTCTTTAGAGAGGATGAAAGAATGAATTTTGAGGGAAAGTAACTAACTCATGCAATTCCAGTGTCCATGGATATGGTTAGATTGTATCCTAATGTTTCCTGGAGTGAAGGTTTGGAGGCTATGAGAGAAGCATGAGAAAGATAGAAGGGTTCCGACTGAATATCTGTTAAGAATGATGATGATAGTTCTTATTTATTTACAAAAATATGGAACAGCTATTGGAACAAAAGCTACACCACCAAATTTAAAAATCTGTTCATGGGCTGGTGGGAGAAGAACCTTGAAGATGGATGGAAAGGAACCAAATTAGAGTTCTTCTAGAGGTTCATTGATGATCTGTTATTTTATATGGCTTGGTACAAAACAGGAACTTGCGATTTCATAAGTTTTGCAAATTCTCTCTTCCCTAGAATCAAGGTTACAGCTGAGTTTAATTTTACAACAAGGAGTATAAACTTCTTCTTCTTCTTCAAACTTTTATTGGAAAAACACAACGTAAATATATTTATAAAAAAATCACAGGGTTAATAAGTGGTTTTTCGCTATATACTCTCTACTTGCTCAGGAATATATAAAATTGAGATCTAAAGCATCGACAGCTCCATTATGAAAGACATACATAGTATTGAGCAGCAATCTTGACACAAAAATTTAGACTTAGTAAAGTACTTTTCGTACTTTACTGTTAATTTACTTTTCGTACTTTACTGTTAATTACAAGAGAGAAAACAGACAAATGAAGACAAAATCAAAAAGAAATAAGAAAATTCAAAATAGAAAAAACGAAAAAATAATAAACCGAAAAAAGAAAAAATTACGCAGATCCATGTTTTTTATCTCCATTTTTAAAGGAGAAGTGCAACAAAATAACTAAATCTTGGATCTCATATTCCAAAAGGAAATAAGTAAATAAAAACAAACGAAAAATAGTGCCGATCCGTTTTTTTATAAATCATTTCTTTTAGGAGAAGTGCAACAAGATAAATATTGGATCCGAACATCAGAATCAACCTTGTAAATATCGGAAGTTTATAATTATGAGAATCAGTTCAACCTATGAAGATATATACTTGAAGAGTATTTAGTATCATTAGATTATGAGGAGATATATAGACTGGCACCGGAATAGTACAGATTTTCAATTATAACAGTATTTAAATTGGCGTTAGACTTTTATTATAAATACTAGCCTTAGAGGGCGCTTCGCGCCAATCTTCTAAATTAATTGTGAACATGTTCTCTTTGTGTACATCGTAAAACAAAACAAAAATAATTCGCGGATTGGTAATTTCCTAGTATACGATTTTTGGACNTCAATGGTGATACGGATTAATTTTATAAAGCTAATCTTTATGTTGCTGTCATTATATGTGACATTCAACTTGAGTGTATAATCGAATCGGTATAGAAACATTTTCGCTAAACCCTATAAATGTGTTGGTTTGCTTTGCGTTTTTTGCGCTGACACGAAACAAAAAGGTCCTGACAGCCGTTTTTTGGTCCTGATAACCCTACTGTGAACGCGATGGTCCTGACAGCCGGTCCTGATAGCCGGAGAGGTCCTGGTAACCCTACGCTGAATGCGAAAATGTCCTGATAGCCCGTGGGCAAATAAGAGCAAACAGACAGACAAGCCAAATTTATATATAGATTTGTATTTAAAAGTTTTTTAGTTTTTTAGTTTTGAAAATGCGCGAAAAATTTTTATGAAATTTGCAAACTTTTTTTGTTTTTGATTTATACTGTACAATGAATGAGAAGATTCTCACAGATAAAGTCACAATTAAAAATTGAAATAGAAAATGGGCGCGAAGCGCTCTAAAAGCCTAGTCTTTTTAAGATTTAGTTTCATGAAGTAATCTCTCCGGCTCTCAATGAATGTTGTTTTCTGTAAATATTTATTTTTCCAACAAATTGAAATTAGGGTTTTTAAAACTTTAGATTAAAATTTTTACTAAACGAGATTATTCAATGTTCTGCAATGTTTTAAACATTATTGAGAGACACTTCGTGATTTTAAAATATCTCTAATCAGTTCTTTTGGAAAATTGTTCAGTTGGTGGAGCTTTAAAAAGTGTAGGTGTTTAAAACTGTAATAGAAAATCTTGTACATGGAGATATTTAGTATTTACGTACATTATACACAACTGTATGTACATATAGAAACTCTAAAACATAGATATTTACATGTACATTGTACTAAACAGTATGTACATGTAGAATGCATCCTAAAGTATATTCAAACGTTACAGTCTTACCTCAAATAGAGAAACTTTTGATGAATAAAATAATATTACAAGAACGCTATTTTTCCTTTTTTTTCTCCATACAACAGTACTACGGAACAATAGTACACTACTATACAGAACATATATAAGATAGTGTTGAACAAATGTTTTAATTGTAATGACTTTGCTTTTACAGATTTGGTGCATATTACAGTTTAATACAAGGTTTGCAAAAAATAGAACATTTTTAAAAGAACATTTCAAATGTAATTTTTTTTGTAGAGTACAGTGTACACTATAAAGTAAACATTATACAGAGTAAAGTGTACAGTGCACAGTGTACATTTCAGTGAGTACAGATGTATAACGGGTATACATCTAGACAAAAAAAAACATCTTACATGTTCTTTGAAATAATGATAGACATTAAAACATGATACAATAGGGGCCTTTGATACAAACAATAAACAGTCTTAAGCCACTTGTTTATTAAAAGTTACTGATTAAAACATGGGGAATACATTTTTATAAGTTAGAACTTGTCATAAGTTTTCTATCATAAGAAAAGACAGAGTCAGAATGTGGAGAAGAATCAAGGTTGGAGCCACGGCAATCAAATTCTGAAAAAATTAGAAATAAAAATTGATTTTTCGTTCCCAGATTAAGAAAATATGTGCGAAAAATGTGCAAAATACAGAATACTTTCTCTGCATAAGTGACTTGATCATTTCTTGAAGAAATCTTCAGATAAAACACTTTTTCAGCCAGAAAACAATAAATTTTATAAACCCATAATCCTGGCATATCCAAGAACAAAATGCGGTCTGTTTTTATGGTACTATAAAAACAATTTATTGAATACTAGCTGGAGCATCTGGCATTGCCCAGGTTTATATTTTTTATTAATATCTGTAGTTAATCCCGCCGTTTACCCGAGCTTGGTATCAAATCATGATTGTTACTAGTTCCGAATTTTTTTAAGCCTATGTGACCCGACCCCGGGTACCCATGAAGAGCTTTATTATATATATGTAGATGGAGGTTAACTTAAATTGTCCTCAGCACAAAATTCTTCATATCTCCGGTAATTTTGAATGCAAAAAAAAGGCAGACCACACTTTGCAAGGGCCAGGACCAGATTTACATTCTGATTACTATTTCAGTTATTTTTATTGTAAAGTTTTGCTGATGTACATGGTGTCCCAATAAACGTGGGAATTCAGTGACGAATTTGAGATCGTTTTTTTTAATAATTCTTTGATTTATAGTATGGTGATACCCAGTGGCGGATATTAGGGGGGTTATTGGGGTTATTTACCCCCCCCTAGAATCCTGGGGGTAAATACCCCCCCCTAGAATCCTGGGGGTAAATACCCCCCCCTAGAATCCTGGGGTTAAATACCCCCCCCTAGAATTCTAGGGGTAATTACCCCTGAACATATTTTCAGGCCCTGAATAGCAGGGGTTACTCCATTTGCTGCCTCTACAAGTAACAGTTCCAGTTGCCTTGACCCCTTCCATTCAAAAAAAAAATACATTCCCTATTCATTAGTCTGCACTTGTGTAAAGCGACTATTTTCATGATAGTAAAAGTTTTTGCGGCATTTTGCAGATGCTTCTTAAACTTTTAGTTCGGAATCGGTTACTTCAGCAAAGTTCACTCACACACAACTCGTCATAATAAAAAATATATATATTATGAGTTAATTTCCTAAAATACGATTTTTGGACCCCCCTCCCCCTCCTTTTGTACATGGATATCATATCATATGTAAGACAAGACAATTTTTGAGCCAGCTAAGACTCTGAACATGCTGATTTTTTTATGTCTAGCTTTAAAATTTTATTGTGCAATAAATATAAAACAAATCGAACCCTTGTTTCTGTCCTAGAGAACGTTTTTGTGTCCCCCCCCCCTCCNTAAAACCAATAATTTGATATACATCATGATATTTTTCTAGGGGGGGGGGTAAAAAAAATTCCGGCGTGCTTCGCGCGACAAATTAAAAATTTTTACCCCCCCTCCCCTACAGAATCCTTATATCCGCCCCTGATGATACCTACTGAGAAAGCTGTAATCTGTAAGAGTTTCGTCTGCTATGTTCACATTTTGTTTGTTTATGTTTTGACTGCATACGGTTGTACTTAGTAAAACAAGAAAATAAACTCTAGCAGACATAATAATATTATGGCTTTTGAAATAATGCTAATTCATAACAAAGACGATATCCAATTCGTAACTTAGCTAATTCCCATGTTTTTTGGGACACCCTGTAGAAGCTGCAAATTATTTTAAAAATCAAAGAAAAACATCGAGTCGTCTCTTAGCTAAAAAGTTTGGTGGGACACCCTGTATTTACCTGGGTAGGAGAATATGTTGGAGTTGGTTGCGAGAATTTTCAGATGGGAGCCAGATATCTTATAGATACCTTACCTCTTACAGGGGGGCCACTTTCACCTAGATAATAATAAAATAAGAATAATAATGATGTAACGGAGGAAGTCGGAATGTGTTGATAAGACAGGACCAATTGCATTCTGCTTAGAAAGGGGGACCTAGTCCATTCTGCTTTGAGATAGAGGGGTCATGAGGATAACAAGGGGGGGCCAGAGTCCAGTGCCGAGTGTCCAGAGATTTCAAATTATCAGGTTCTAACTTCTAGATCCAGTTCTCAAATCCACTTTTTAATAGAACTGTATCTTATGTTTCAAGTTAATCCAGTTTTAATGCAATAAAATCTTAAAACAATAATGATAATGATAATGATAACGATAATGATAATGATAATAATACCTGTTCTAACAATGATATCTGTGTCCCCCTCTAGTGATGGTAAACCAAGAACTATTTGATCACGAATGAGATTATATACCTCGCCATTTTTACTATAAATAAAATTACATCATTTTTTGGACAAGCTTGGGTACCCAGCATTGCCTGGAATATATCGTGTACCATAAGTAACAAAGGTTTAAAGATTTTAGTGTGAAATAAAGAACAGTAAATGCGTTTAAAATTCTAGAAACAATTAGAAAATGGTTGACAATGCAAATGTACCTGATAAGACTGCAAGGAGAAACTACTTTAAAAACCCGTTCTGCTGGTAGTGTTCTGGTCAGGTAGGTGGAAGGCAGGTAGCCAGTAGAACCAGTTATAGTACACCGACCCCGCCACCAGTCAGGATTGTTCTTGTCTAGTATGTGTACAGTACTTCCAGCACTGGAGAAATTTGAGATATTAGATGAATACATAAATTATTATGCTCATTACTAAACCAGGATTTGCAGAACACACTCCCCTAGGGTGCACCGGAAAAAAATTCCCAAATGTGCGACACATTTTTTGGGAAGCATTGGGTTAAGACTTGCTCAAATACGCAATTTTAGCATTCACAAATAATTTTATTAACTGGCCCATCCATTTTACTGTGTTTCCAGCCATTTTTGGCCTTTTTAAACCTTTTTTTTAACCATTCTCGGTTAAATTGGAGTAACTCTGTCAATTTTTGTAGGAATTTTGAAATGTGATACCATTTTGGAGATCATTTAAGTTGGTATTGACGATATTTGACAGAGTTATTAAGAATTTTGTTGTTTTATTGTTAAATATTCAGAAAAAGGTGAAAAATTGATACTCTTTTTACACCTTTCTTCACCTTGGAGTAGTTAAAGTAATTTTTTTCAAACTCAATACCATCGCTATCCTAAAGTACTTTGATAATTTAGAAATGGCCTAAACATGTTTTATTGATATGTTAAGAGTCAAAGGTATATAAGGTATTTCCAGAAATGCCATGATTAAAACCGGATCGGTGCATTTTTCTCTGAACTCCTTGCTTGACCAAATGATGCCAGCGGTAAAATAATTGCTATCAATAAAAAGATGCCCTTTGATGTCTCTATTGCAGTGGAAAAAACTGAACTTCAATATCTTTAAAAAACATGAAGGTATAATCCTTACGGTCAATTAATTTAGTCTAAAGATGACTTTAATTGGCCTAACAGTAATCTCACTCATAAAGCGGGGTTTTAAGCGTTGCTAAACTAGTTTACTAAAATTTCTTTATCTTATTTATCAGATATCAGATATCAAAAATTTGGTTTTTTCTGTGCAATCTTAATGGGAGTGTTTGCTAAAAATGAAAGGGGTTACAGGCTTATGGCGAAATTAATCGCTTTTGATCCCTACTAATCTGACTTCTATCTGTTGCGTCTATAAGGAGAAAATTGTTAAAAAGGACTTATACCGAAGAACGTAACGTCAATACAAATGCAGAAAGTTGCACCATACAACTCGGATAGTAAAAAAATAAATTTAAATCCACACAAATCATTTAGATATTTAAACCTATAGTCATCGATTATTTTTCGACGCATTTGAATATTGTTAATATTTCATAATATTTTTGGCTTGTTTTGTATACAATGCATTAAAACGCCAAAATAGTTGGCCGCCAGGTGGTCTGCTCTTGATGCTTTGAATGATTACAAGTGGCAGAGACACCTAGCGGAAAAAATATGTATGTTAAATAAATAAAAGATATTTTGAAATATTAACTATATATAAATGCGTCCAAAAACAATGGATGACTATAGGTTTTAATATCTGAATGATTTGATTGGGTTTAAGTGGATTTTTGTGTTGCATCATTTGGGCAAGCAGCGGGGGAAACAATATCAAAAGCATTAAAAACAAACTTACGAGACACTGAGTTCATCTTCTCTTCTGGGGGTGAAATTATAAAGAACGGCATAAATGTTGCTCGGTAATTGTCGGCTCATTTTCTAAAAAACAAAATCCTTATATCTTTACAACCTAATGTTATATACTTGCTTGATCAAATAGTTATAGTTTGAAACATCAAAGTTTACACCACCAGTTTTCAAAGAAATAAGGCCGGGGATTTGAAAATTTTAACGAAGGAAAGTTAAAAAGTTAAAATAGTAACAAAATATTTACCGGTGAGTGTCCAGGGGAGGTAAAATGTGGTGATTGTGTACCCTGGTCTTTATCACCCCTGAAAAACAATATTAAAACATAAATATGGTTTGTATATTTCTTGTTTTTTGTAGTCCTAAACGGCTAAACCGATCGGGTTAAAATTACAAAATGACTTTATCAAAGTCATAAAATGTTGACGCCAAAAAATTAAGATTGTTACCAAAATTAGAAAATTTGAAAACTCGACAATCCGCACAAATTTGTATTGTGATAAGTTTAATGCTACAAAGATGAAAGGCTTGCAACGAAAAAAAAACACTAAAATTAGTTGAAAGAGAGCCACTAAGCCTGTTATATATAATTTTCTCCTTTTATAATTCTTTTAACATTAAGGAAGGTTTAGTTCGGTTTCTAGACTTTTTACTCTTGAAATATTTAATTTGTAAAGTAATTTTCATTTAAGAGAGAAAAAAAAAACATTAGACCTAGTTTTGTAACCTGTAAAATTGTCTTTTTGTAAAGAATAAGATAAAGGGTAACATAGTAAATTTTTAAAGATTTAAAAAAAAATTCGCGATTGTAATTCTTAAAAATAAAAGAATTCACAAAAAATGTCATAATCTGATTTCAGATTTTAAGACAAATTATCATGCACACACTTTGTTGTCATTAAGATTCAACTTTCCCTGTTTCCTTTCAAGAACTTAGGGGAAAAATTCAAAGAGACAGAGTTTGTGCCACGAAGTCAACCTTTTTAATCCCTATATCTTTGCAACCTGATGGCAAAAAACTAAAAAATTTCAGCTTAGACGATTTGATCTCACAGAATACAAAGATTGAAATATGTAAGGGTTGAAAAGATAAAAGGATTATAAAATTAGAGATTTATTTGCAAAAATTCTACTTTTCGCTTGTTTTAGAAATACATTTTTGATATTATGCCGTTTACAAACAATTAATTTAAAGCAAAATTTAATATAATAAAGACAGATAAACGTTAAAAAAACTTTGTTATTATAGTATTTTATATATATTCTTTTAGCTGAGAAATTGTTAAATCAACGCAATAGATAATAACCGTTTTTGATTAACTTAAAGATTTAACAAAGAGCTTTAATCAAATTCCATTTAATGTTTCAAAACCTGTATTTGTTAAAGGGGACTGCAGACTTAATTAGTAAAATGGCGTGCCTGACTCGCAACAGTACCCCATACATCTTTTGATAGACAAAGATTAATCACGCCCCTCTGCCCCTTTAGTAAAAGTAAATTCATCCTGTATGAAGCATAAAGTCTGACCGCGTCAACCTTGTTGCACCGGCTATTCCTGTCCATAGAGCTAGGTACAGTACAAACTGGGACCGGAAAGGTTGACCCAGCTCGGAAATGTACTACGACTACCCGTGTAAGGACTTATACTTGCTTCACTAGAGAATTAAGAGTAATTTTTGTTTTCAAAATGATTTTTATTTATATTAATATAAATAATGTAATTAACAGTAATTTTTATATTTCAGAAAAATATCTTATTATTTTATTTATACAGTGGGACCCATAAACCTTTAGAATGGAAAGATGAAATTTAAGCAACCTTATGTGTAGTTCATGTTGTATTTTTTATGAACTTAATATCAAAACTTGAGCTTTCGGTTATCCTCCTATTTCACAGTTTTATGGGTCACGCTGTCTAAAAAACTGATAAAATTACACGACAAGAAACTGGCAGATTAAAACAAATTTTTTATGTTTTCTTTATTCTAATTCCTCTCTTTATGACAATATTATATAATATGATAGGATAAAAGCTTCTTAACAGAAAAATAAATGTTATATATTTTTTCAGAAGAAAAAGTTTTATAATTTTTTAACAGAAAATTAATGCTATTATAATTTTTAACAGAAAAATAAATATTATTATGATTTTTCAACAGAAAAACAATGTTATCATTTTTAATAAAAAAAATAATTTTATCATTTTTTAATATAAAAATAATTGTTATTATTAATTTTCAACAGAAAGTTATGCAGTACACACTTTAACTATACATGGGTTTATTTTATTTTTATTAGGTTATAACACTAACAACTTGGCTTATTTTAGAAAATGTGAAAGTAAAATACTTTTTCATACTTTTCAAATTTTAGCAATGACATGTACAGTGTACAGTGTACATAGCTTTTTACTTTTTTTGTGTGTGGCTCAAAATGTATTAAAAGCTAACTCAAAATCCAATTTTTGTAAAAGTATTTTAAAAAAAGATTTATTTATCACCTGGGGCCTTTAGACAACATACCAGGAGGTGCTCTGCATCCAATCGGACTTAAAGGAACTGGAGCTGAAGGATCTAAATAATAAACAATATTTTACATATGTCAAGCTAAGTGAGTTTACTACTTTAAATTCTATTTAGTTAATCCAATCTATACTAACATTGATTAGAGGATATTTCAGGATTGTCCAAGGATGAAGATTTATGCCGTACAGTTAGTTTAGGTCTCCAGCATAATCCATCCTTACCAAGCATTAAACCACCTCCGCCGCTAGGACTTCCTCCGCCACTTCCTCCACCTCCACCTCCGAATCCACTCATCCCTCCACCTCCAAACCTACTATCTATTCCTCCATTCCCTCCTCCGCCAACCCCACTCCCCCCACTACTTCCTCCACCACTCCCACCGCCGCTCCCTCCACCACTCCCTCCACCACTCCCTCCACCACTCCCTCCGCTACTCCCTCCTCCTCTGAACCAGCCGAAACTACGGACTAATAAAAGAATAAAATCAGGTAATATTCATAAATGCACTAAAAGGAAGTAAAATTGCAAAAATTGCAAAATTGCAAAAATGCAAAAACTTTCTGGAACACTGAAACAAGATTCTTTTCCATTAGTTTTGAGGTTAGTAGTTGAGATCTAATTAGCAAAGTTTATCCCTGCTCAGAGCTCACCACATTCGAAAATTAAATTTTGAAGTATTACACGTGAGAAATGCCTCTTAAACATAAATCATAGTTAGTTAAAATAGAAAATATTTGTATTATTCAAGTTAGTTTACAACAGTGCACTCCAGGTTAGTTTACAACAGTGAACTCCATGTTAGTTTACAACAGTAAACTCCAGGTTAGTTTACAACAGTGAACTCCAGGTTAGTTTACAACAGTGAACTCCAGGTTAGTTTACAACAGTGAACTCCAGGTTAGTTTACAACAATGAACTCCAGGTTAGTTTACAACAGTGAACACCAGGTTAGTTTATAGCAGTGAACTTCAGGTTAGTTTATAACAGTAAACTCCAGTTTAGTTTACAACAGTGAACTCCAGGTAAGTTTACAACAGTGACCACCAGGTTAGTTTATAGCAGTGAACTCCAGGTTAGTTTATAACAGTGAACTCCAGGTTAGTTTATAACAGTGAACACCAGGTTAGTTTACAACAGTGAACTCCAGGTTAGTTTACAACAGTGAACTCCAGGTTAGTTTCTAACAGTGAACTCAGGGATAGTTCATAACAGGGAATTCCAGGTTAGTTTATATTAGTAAACTCCAGGTTAGATCATAACAGTTAACTCCAGGTTACTTCATAACACTTTACTCTAGGTGAGACCAAACTACCGAAACTTACTATCTGGGAGGCTCCGCATCTCCCAGAGTTCCCTCCTCGATCATAGAGGAGTAGTTCCCAGCTGTAATCTTCCTTCCACTACTGTCAACTAGTTCTCCATCTGTCATCAGAGCTATACCAGCTCTACTACCAGGAGTATAGGTGGAGTAGGAACCACCCATCCTTCTCCTGGTAGGAGAAGGTTCTAGAGAACTCCGTCCTCCGTGCACAGTGAGAAGGTTGGAGGACTAGGACGTGTTCTTTATTTTATTATTATTAGAGTTTTGAGAAATAGTTTTTCTTTAGACAAATTTTCTGCATCACGGAGTGTATAAATTATTAAAGAGTATACATCAAAGATGAAAACTAAATGAAAAGAATAACAAATATCATCCATTTTGTTTAATATAATAAAATGAACATTTCACTTAGAAGTTTTAAATTAAACCAACTTTCAGAATACTTTTCAAGTTTTTTTTTCAATTTATGTTGTATCCAATCCATGAGAGATATTTGTTCTAAAAACTTTCATCTGTTTTTCCTTTTATCATCTTAAATCTATGAAGATTTTTTCAGAAAAGTAATTTTAAATTTTGGAAGAAAATTTTTAATTTAAGAATTGAATCTTGTATGATGGTTACCCTCTTATGCAAGAACTTTCCAAAAATATAATAAATAGTTAATTAGATCCATTAGATACTGTTTGGAAGTAATAAAAACTAAGGAATAATTAGAACTAAAGAAAACTTTCCAGTCCCCTGCCATCCTCCGACAAACTGGTTTTATACGAGCGATTATCTTGCTTCTGATTGGAGGAAAGATGCTCCCTACTTCCTGATATTCCACCTATATATAAGCACGATTATCTTGCTTCTGATTGGAGGGAAGATGCTTCTCACTTCCTGATATTCCACTTATGTATTAGCACGATTATCTTGCTTCTGATTCCTGATATTCGACCTATATATTAGCGCGATTATCATGATTCTGATTGGAGGAAAGATGCTCCCCACTTCCTGATATTCCACCTATATATTAGCGCGATTATCTTGCTTCTGATTGGAGGAAAGATGCTCCCCACTTCCTGATATTCCACCTATATATATTAGCGCGATTATCTTGCTTCTGATTGGAGGAAAGATGCTCCACACTTCCTGATATTCCACCTATATCTATTAGCGCGATTATCTTGCTTCTGATTGGAAGAAAGATGCCGAAGAAGAAGCCCAAATTACTTTTTAAAAAAAGGTCACTTTTTTCTCTTTTTTCTCAGAGATGCCAGTCAAGTACTTCTAAGGACCATAAAGGTTATGTTATCCAACCATATAGTTAAATATGTTAGATATTGGATCAATCTAATGGATCAATGTCAGTTTAAATCCTTATACGGATCATTTTCAAAAAACAACATTGTAGTTATGATTGTGTAAGGAAAAAAAATTCAAATGCTTTTAAAATTTTTAACCAAGAAAAAAACGACAATATCTTCCACATTATAGATTAAACAAAGGTTTCAAGGGTACCAGTGTGAATCTGGCATTGTCATCTTTGCATTGGCTGGGTCACTTGAAATTAAGCTTATTGCAGTTATTTTAAAGGAAGCATTACTTGAGTCTAAAATTCGACTTCTAAAGTCGAATTCTTATCGAATGTTGTCCTTTTTTAATAATGCATCTATAGCACCTGTACTGTACTGCATCCATAGCACCCAATTTCCTTCAAAGAAAGCGGTCAAAAAAATTATTAAGCCAGCGTTGAAATTAAAGTTTTTGCATATTACATGCTTAATTCAATGTTTTAAGAATTAAAAAGACCAAAGCACTTTTAGTGAATGTTTTTATGTGAAAATTTTCCTGAAAAATAAATTTATGGAAAGGAATGTAGTCTTTGTCATAAACTCAAATTTTCTAATCCCTATATCTTTGCAACCTGATGGTGTAAACCTTTGATATGTCAAACCTAGACTAACTGATCTAACATAATTCATAGTTTGAAATATTTTAAAGGTTTACGCTATAAGGTTGCCCAGCTATTAAGGTAAAAAAGATTAAGTTTGTGGCAAAAACAGTTAACAGAGATAAATAGCTGATACCGACCGAACGGATTGAAAAAAGTATTCAAGTGTTCAGCACTTTATCTGAACAGAAGTCGAAACTTATCTGCTGAGTCACGTTAATCTTTAACACTCGGTCTCAATGTCAAATGTGGAACCTTTTGAGAATACATGTTTGATCTCTTCATTCAAGTAATCCCTACAGATGTAGGTCAATGCTTGATCCCAGGATTCACAACCAAAAAGTTCTTATCCCAGAATTCGATCAGAGCTGAAAACTTTAGAATGGTGGGTATTCAGATTAATGCTTGATCCTCTCTTAATATCGAGACTAACCTAATCTTGTACTTGTATCCTGAAAAGTGTATAAAATTCAACCAATTAGAGTCGCATATATGAACCCGATAAATTTGAAATTTTGCGCGCCATTTAAGATAATATACAGAAACGGGAGGGACTCTCTAAATAAAAAAAAAAGGTTTTTGATTTTTCTCTACTATATCCAAGAAAGAACGGTTTAAGAAGAAAATCAAAGGTGTGTCCATTGGATACTCAGATTAAGTAATCGGGATTAAGGATATCTCATTCTAAAGTTTTCAGCTCAGATCTTTATCTTGAAGAATTCTAAATTCCAAAAGTAAATAATGCATTAAATGGAAACCAAATTTAACACAAAATATGATAATATCCAATAATCCAATTCTTAGACTCGGAAATATTTTCTAATGCAACCATCCTTGAAACATAGTAGAATTATTACAACGAACCTTTTACGAAAATTGAAAGAGGGAATTAATAAATTTCTTGAAGAGACTGTCTTTTTAATAAATTACTTGAAGAGACTGTCTTTTTAATAAATTACTTGAAGAGACTGTCTTTTTAATAAATTACTTGAAGAGACTGTCTTTTTGATAAATTACTTAAAGAAACTGTCTGCTTAATAAATTACTTCAAGAGACTGTCTTTTAAATAAATTACTTGAAGAGACTGTCTTTTAAATAAACTACTTGAAGAGACTGTCTTTTTAATAAATTACTTGAAGAGACTGTCTGTTTAATAAATTACTTCAAGAGACTGTCTGTTTAATAAATTACTTCAAGAGACTGTCTGTTTAATAAATTACTTCAAGAGACTGTCTTTTAAATAAATTACTTGAAGAGACTGTCTTTTAAATAAATTACTTGAAGAGACTGTCTTTTTAAATTTCAACATACACAACAATATAATTCTGAAAATTCTGACATTGTTTTTCTGGGAAAATCAATGGGAAAGTCACTTTTGAAATTAATCAGTGTTGTAAATAATAAATATACATGTATAATTCAGGGGTTGAAGGGAGCTTTAATCATCCAACACCAAAGTTCCCAGCAAAAAGTATATTTTCACTTAGAAAAGATAACCAAAATGAAGATATGAAAAGGTTTAGTTGTTTATAGATGTTCAAATTATAATTGCCCATTTAGGATATTGAGATCAAGCTATCGGGATTAGGAGTATGTTATGATGGTGGTATAGTATGCAGCAAAGGTCTATAGCTTGTTGGAATTTTTCTTAGATTTTGATTATTTGATTTCGATGGATACGGAATTTGAATTTATATTAACTTTAAACTGTCTGGGAAAGACCAGGGAGTAAGGAATAGAAGGGAGATACAACTGACGCGGTTCGCCATACCAAATGATTATACATGCTTTGCAGACGGGTACTCCATTTGTATAAGAAATATGTCTCTGATGTACAATTACCGCGTATACAATAGCTTTTTCTGAAAATTTCTTATACGTAAATGGAGTACCAGTCTGCAAAGCATGCATAATCATATGGTAGGGCGAACAGCGTCATTTATATCTCCCTTCTATTCCTTACTTCCTGGGGAACACTTCTCTACTGGGTGTATAACTTGATACTTTTATAAACTGTGATTTAACTAACATGCATTTATTATTTACTTTAACTATATCTCTATATTGTCGTATTTAAAGGGACTGTAAGCGTAATCTCAAGTAACCCTTTTTGCAAACATAGCAATGCCCGATTCACAACATCACTTTTAAAAGCATTGTCTGATAAAGTATGAATTAGATATCAATGATTTGAAAGAGTATCGTTGTGAGTCGGGCATGTAGGGTGTCACTTACCATTACGCAAACAGTCCTTTTAAAAGTTAAATAAATGAGCTGATTTTTCAGCTCAGACTCTATTTTCTTATTTCTATATCTTTGCAAGCTGATGATAGACCTTTCATATTTAAACTATGAATTCTAGATTCGATTGAGAAAACAACGGTTAAAACCATCAGGCTGCAAATATTCAGAGATTAGAAAATTATAGTTTGTGTTGAATAATCAATTCTTTTCTAACTGTTTAAAGAATGACTAAATGATCCCAACCTGAGGGCGGGTTGGCTCCCATCAGTTGGTTCTGAGATCTAACCCTGAGCAGCTGTTTCTCCATCCTTGTTCCGCTCTTCTCCTCCCTTGTCATAGATCCCCTACCATCTCCACCCCCTAGAGACACAGAATGGAACTGAGTTCTTGCCACAAACTCTGATTTTCGAAATCCTCTAAAGCAACCTGATGGCATATGCCTCTATTATCTAATTTAAATTATGAGCTCTGAGCTGAAAACTTTTGAATGAAATATCCTTAATCCCGATCGGTTAATTAATCTGGAGATTAATAATAAGAGGAGAACAAGCATTATTTAATCTTGAGATTAAGAAAAAGAGGAGATCCAGAATTGATCTCTATATCCACCATTCTAAAGTTTTCAGCTCTGTTTAATCAAGAGTCAAAGTTTGAAATAGCATTTCATTATATCATAAAACATTTGCGCAAAAATTCGTTAATAAATATACACTTTAAACATTGCGTTACTGTCGTCTTCCTAGTCCACAGTTTTCTGGTCCTCACTGTAGTGTTTATATTTTTTTCTTTTTCATAGCAAGATCATCTAACAACATTTAAACTTTTTTTGTGGTTTTTTTTGTTAAAATTAACTAAGAGGGTAAACCCGATCGAAATAAAGTACTTTGAAAGACTCTGTGTCAAGTTTCCTGGAAAATGTGCAAAATAAAATTGCATCAAAAATATAAAACTTCCTTTCAAAGTTCTGCATAAAAGAAATAAATTATCTTCTAAAAACTAAAAGTTATGAAAACCTTTTACTTTTCAATGTGTATTTGTGCATTTGTTTATATGGGATAAAATGATGTTAAGTATTACAGATAGTATTTAAGATATTGGCATTTAATACTTTGTTATAATGCATTCAGAACTCATGTAAAGGAATTGAGGCATTGCCCCTAACTCTAATTAACCTTTGATATTTCTAACTTAGATCATTTGATCTAACAGAATTCATAATTTGAAATATCTTACGTCAATATGACGCTAGGTTGCAAAGAATTTGTACCAGTAATTACGCTTAAAGGAATCGCGTTCTTCCCCCAAACTCTGCTTTTTAATCCTCGTATTTCTGCAACCAGATATTGAAAAGTTGCAAAGATATAGGGATTTGAAATTTGGAGTTTGTGAAAAGAACTCTATTGGTTTTAATTTGTTTGCTTTGTCCAGATATTTGAGTGAATTTAGCAATTTGTAAACTTGACAATTTGTCAATTATAAATTTCAGAGGATTTAGTATCATATTTGATATCCAATTATGCACAGTTAAATTTAATAAATAAGCTTTTTAAAGTTAAAATATATTTGTAAACGATTTTATTTTTTTAAAACATGTTTTGCAGCGTTTTCCAGTCAACAATTTGATAAACATTTTGTCGAAATAAAATACGAGCAAAATATAAAATTATTTTGAAAATACAAGAAAAATATTTTCAACAAATTTTCATTCCCTCAGAGAAGAGTCATTAAAAAAAATAAAAACGAAGAAATAAATTATTTTAGCTTTCCGTCCGAGTTGATCATTAAAATTAGTTGAAACGTCTAAATTATTATCATTAATTTTGATCTTACTTTCAGAAAAGTAACTGTTCCTTTTTTCAAGTCGCCGTTATTCATCGTACTCAGCAATCAACAAACATTTTGCGGATTTTTCTGTTTAAATTTGTGTTTTTTGTTAAATAATAAATTTCGGCATTTTTTTCCATGCAAAATTTTTTAAATTTGAAGAATTAGGAATTTTCCAAAGAACTTTTCTCCGGCTATTTTCTAGAATTAGTAACAAAAAATTCTCCGAAATTGGATTATGATTACACAAAGGACTTGAGTCTTTATCACAAACTCTGATTTTTTAATTTCTATATCTTTTTAACCCGATGTCGTGAACCTTAGATATTTCAAACTATGAATTCTGTTTGATTGAATAATTTTCCAGTTCCCTATGTCCCGAGAATTTCTTGAAACAAATTCAAGAAATTTTGATAATTGTAAAGAGGTCCAAGTAATTTCTGCAAAATTTCCATAAAATTGTTATCTGGAATCCGTTTTACATTATAAAAAGTCCGATGTGCAGAATACAATAATAAAACACCACGGTTTACAAGAATCTCTGTTCTGAGAAGCCCCTTTGAAGAATAAGAATGTTTTCAAAAAAGAAAAAAACATTTATCTCCGCAAATTCATGAAAAACAATTTATTTTTATACTCTTAATGTTAATATTTTAGTTTTGTTTTCAAGTCCAGACGTCATCCCAATTCCCAATATATTGAAGAAGTGTCCATTACACCTTTATCCAATCAATGGTGTGGAAGATATCGTCGCTTTTCTAGCTTCATATCTCACGGAATCTTAATCAGACAAAGCTTGATAAGGTACCGTTGTGAATCAGACATGCCGTCACTCGAAATTACTACTGCAGGCAGCAGTCTCTTTAAATTTGAAATAATGAAAATAATTTTTTTTTAAACTTACTGTCGTCTTCGTCTGTTAAGCGAATATCAATATCTGAGGCAGATTTCTGTCTGCGGAGGAGTTTACTCTTAGGTTGGCACTTTACAACCTTTAACAGTCAGGAGTTATATACAGTGGTATCCACACAAAATTCGATGAAAAGTTTCGAAGGTTGGATTTGGATTATTTAAATGCTTTGCTAAACAATTGGAAAAGAGATAAACAAAGTTAAAATTTGCCGAAACCAAGATTGTAAGAAAAATTTACTAACATTTTATATTGTCGTTCTTCAAGAAGGGATGTTAACGTTTTCATTTTTCAGAAAAACGATCGTTTCGTTATGAAAACGACGACGAAAAATCGAAAACGAAACGATCGTTTTAAAAACGATCGCTTTTTTAAAACGTTCGTTTCTTAAAAATGGTCGTTTTTAAAACGATCGTTTTTCAAAACGCTCGTTTTTCAAAACGCTCGTTTTTAAAAACGATCGTTTTTCAAAACGATTGTTTTTATAAAATTCGTCGTTTCGTTAACGATCGTTAACGCCGGACCTTCGTTAACGATCTTTAACGACGACCCTTCGTTAACGATCGTTAACGACAACCTTCGTTAACGATCGTAAACGACGACCCTTAGTTAACGATAGTTAACCTGAAGGGCATCTGTACTTATCATCGAGTAGTTTTTCAGAAAATATCAAGGAGTTTTAACTGTTAAACTTCATGTAAGACGACAATCAATAAAGTTGCATGTAATTTTTTTTCCAAAAACGACCGTTTTGATAAAGTTCGTCGTTTCGTTAACGATCGTTAACGACGACCCTTCGTTAACGACCGTTAACAACNCACTTCGTTAACGACGACCTTTCGTTAACGATCGTTAACATAATTTTCAATAAAATTTTTTTTGAAAAACGATCGTTTTTTTAAAAAAATCGTATAAAAAATGGTCGCAAATCGTTTTAATAAAAACGATCGTTTTCAAAAACGATCGCTATTCGTTTTCTAAAAGTTCAAAACGAGTTGGTCGTTTTTAAAAACGATCATTTTTTTCCGAAAACGAAACGATCGTTTCTGAAAACGAAACAAAAAACGTTTAACGATCGTTTTCAAAAACGATTAACAACCCTATCTTCAAGTCCCATCCTTTTTTGGGTATCCCTGTATGTCAAATTGTAATTGAAACTTTTAAAAATGTTATTCTTTCTTAAACAGAGGTTTAAAGGGTATCGCTGTGAAGGGGTGAATCTGGATGGAGTGCTAGAAAAGAGTAAAGAAAAAAACGGAAAAATATTTAAAAATTAATTTTTTTATGATAAAAAAATAAAGATTACCTTTTCTTGACAATCAGGATGAACATTCATTCTACACATCTTACACTTTAACCCTTGTCTGGTGTGACCTGTAATATAACGTCAATGTGTATAAAAATTATTATAACAAAAATTATAAAAAAAATGGTCGGAATTCTCCTAAGTCGAACTTTTGTATTGAGTATCATTAATCTGTAACGCGAAATATTTCATTTTCAATGTACGGAAAAGAAAGCAACAGAAAAGAATAAACTTTACTTTATCTGCATTTGAGTCAAAATTTGCTTCTCCAAAAAAATCTAAAAATTAGTTTTATGAAGTCTACATGACGTAAACAATAAAGACTAGAGACATTTAATTCAAAGAAATTCTAAACTTTTTGCATTCATCAGATTTCATTTAAATTTCATTATCAAAGTAAAATTATTTTTAAAAAACCTTAATTTTTGCTATAAATTTGCTGTGTACAGATGATTTGTTTACATTAGAAACTGAATGCTAGCAAAGAGCTCTATTTTTGTCTACTTGCAACCTGATTTTAAGTTTAAATATTAGAAGTTCCACGACATCGGGTTGCAAATATACTGGGATAACTAGAGTTTGTGGAAAAACACAGTTCGTTTAATCCCAATTATGTCTTATTTCGCCACCTTGCACATTCCATTCAAGTTATAAAAAATACATTAATGTACAATTTGTTTTAAAGACTGTATTACTAGATTTACGTTGTAAACCGCCAATTTAATATGTTAACTTATCATGTTTAATGCAATAAATTATACTAACTTTACTTTATTTTACTTTAGGCAGAATTCATTTGAAGTTCGTAACCTTTGACAAATATTTCATTTTGAATATTACAACTTCTCTATCTAATGTCAAAGTTTGGTTTTTTTGTCAATCATTTGTGGAAGTTTTAAAAATACTAGAACGGTCCGTTTGATTTGCACTAATCCCTTCAAAGCCGAGGGATATAATTGTAAGCTTATTATGGAACAGGGTTACTTACAAAACATGAGACTGCAGGAAAGACAACTGTATGGGAATTAATTTTCTTTTTTCTATTTTTATGGTATTTATGGTAAAAAATAGTTCTTTTGTTTTTAAATTGAAAAAAAATACTATTTTGAAGGCACAAGACAAACCTAGAAACCTTCAGATTGTAATATTTAACAAATTCCAGGTCATCACTAAAGTCTCATATTTTGTGAATAACCCTGTATATTTACCTCGTAATATCTGGGAGCATACGTCGCATGGTGTAATCTTCTTATATGTATACTCCTTAACATGAAAATATGGAAACTTCTTCAAATTTTACTTTATTTTTAAGGAGGGGGGGGGGGGT